GCCAGTTCATGGTTACCTTCAATCCTCTCAGTTCGGACACTGGCAGAAACACAAATCTTAGTCTGCTGATGATAAAGAATCAAGAAACAGATGAGATGCAAAGCAGCCACCCACCCAAAACCCTTCATAACTCCCCCTTCACAATGCCGATTGGGTTTCTATGCATTCAAACTAAGATCTCTCTTGAAATAATGCTCTCAGAGGCTGGAATGAAGAAATCTTCTGCTAAAAACACAAAAGAAAGAAAGGGGAATGAATGCTTATAGAGGGAGTGTTTCAGTTGAGAGGTCGCGGGTGAATGTTGGTGGAGGAAAATCCCATTCTAAGGCTTGTTGGCTTTGTACATTTCACATTCTTTGTTTCTTCTTTGGCTGGGTCCAAGTATAGAAAGAAAGATGATGCATCAGGAGGAAGAGGATGGAATGAAATTTTCAGTCGGGTTCTTGATCTTGATGGGCGACGCATCTAGACACACATACGGACTACTCTTCAATTGCTATGTGAGTATTGACAAAGAGGGGTGCGGGTAAATGGGGTACACCCACACCCCTAGAATTTTTCAAAAAAAAATTCTCTTTAAGTTTTTTATTTCCTAAATACTACGAAGTATTTAATACTCCTTCCGTCTCTAAATAAACTTTTTTATTGACTTTTTGGGAAATTAAGAGAGAGATATTTTGGTATTGACTTTCCAAAAATACCCTTGATATGATAGATAAAAGTAAGATGTAATGGATAGATTATTAGTAAAAAGGTATGATGTGATAGGTAGGGTATGAAAAAGTAAGGGGTAGAAGTGGTTTTTTAAAGGAAAAGAGAAGTTTTTTTGGGACAAAGAAAAAACGAAAGGAAAAGTTTATTTAGGGATGGAGGGAGTAATATTTAGTGAGATGGATAATGACTAATAGATAATGATCAATAATCCTACAATGAGAAACAAAAACATATGCGAGAAAGTCATTATGTTTTAATCGTATTTAGTTAAATTCTTCCAAATTTAATACTCCAATGGATTTGGTATTAAAATATACTTAAAGGTGGTAATCGGGTCAACCGAATCGATTCCAGATTGGATTTTTTCGATTCGGATATCTTTTGGATATATATTTTAATCACTTTGCTTCGAATTTGATTCGATTCTGTACATTTTTTTGTTTTGGTTCGGTCTTGAGTCGGTTGAGATATAAGTTGGTTCAGACACATTTCGATTCGGATACAATTTGAATCGGATATATTTCGGTTTCGGATATAGTTCGATTCGGATATATATATCAATTTCGGATATATTTCTGTTCAGATATATTTCGATCGAATCTATTTTGGATATATATTATTTTATAATTAAAATTTAATTATCCATACTTTTTTATTTTATCACATTTATCAATCTATCATCAATTCAACATCTCATATTATTTTATATTTTTCCTATTTATACCATCTCCACCATAAATCATCTTTTTTGACTTTTTAGTCATATTTTATAAATTTGGACTACAAGTAATGAAAAAATATATATTTAATTATGATAAAAAATTAATATAATTAAATTGATTTTAAAATTTAGTTTTGATATATCAAATTTTTATCACATCTACTAATATTTTTATGTTTATAAATGCAAAGATAAATGATAAATTCAAATAGTGTTACGTTTCAATTGAATATAATTTGGTAAAAATTGAGTAAAATTAGGTGAAAATAAGCAATTTTATTTAATATTACTCCTAAAAATTAATAGAATTGAATGAGATTAATACAATTGAGTGCAAATTTTATAAATAATTGGAGTGTATTTGGTTAAAATTAGATAAAATCAAATTCAATCAAATCAAATATAATTAATTTTATACCTAAATTTAATGGTGCAGATCAAATTCGAATATGAAAACGCTAAATGCTACCGCTAGAGATCTTTTTCAAAACGATAACGCTAATCTCTAACTTTATTAAGTAATATTGGGTGAATTGGTTTGAAACTAATCAAATTAACTCCCAAACCAATAAAATTTATTGTAATTAAAAGAAATTAGGATAAATCTAGTTTTTTCATACAATTCATCATATAATTCTTTCATCCAAAAAATAATATCACACTTCACTATTTAAAAATTACAGAAGTGTTATTTATGTTTGCATTTTTATTGATTATTTGATAAAATAAACTATTATTTTGGTAACATTTTATTTTGTAAAACTTTTGATATATTTTTTAAAATATGTTAAAAAAATTATTTATATTTCAATCTTTAAATAAAATAAATTTAAAAAACTTAAAATTTTGCTTTGTTTTGCGTTATGTGGCATTCTTTTTTAGATGCAAGGAGTTTTTTTACTTGCCTTCTTTAATCTGATCACTTTTCTTCAGCCACCATTCAGTCTATTTCCCAATTCCCACACACATTCAGCTCTCAGGCTTAATTTTTTTCAATTGATGCTTCATGTTGCTTTTCGCATATTTTATTACCTTTAATTTTGTTAATAACAAAATAGTTGGGTCTCTTTATTCATCCCATATTTTATATGTATAACTTTTGTGCAATTTCTATATATAATAAGTTTATGACATGAGATTTTGTATTTTTTTAAAGATGGTCCATTTTATGAGGGAATGAACAAGTAAAGTAATTAGTTCATATGGAAAAATAAAATTTAAAACATAAAAATATAATATGCTTATTGAAATGGCACACAGTGTTTTGGATTTTATCAGTTTTGGTCTAAATATACTCCCCCAAATGCATACTGAGTACTCCAAAAAAAGAGTGAAGAAATTATCAAAATGCTTGGAAAAAGTTTCATATTGAGCGAATTACCCCTGTAAGCGTGAATTGACCGAAATGACTAGATGTTTGATGATGACGTCCATCTTAAAAAACAAAAACGGAGGCCAAGTTACGAAGATTTAACAACATTTCATTTCTAAATAAAAAAAACGAGAATTGATGAAACGACACTAGAAGAGACTGAACAAAAGTCTTTCAACACTTTTCTTCCTTCGTTGTGTGACCTGTGTGTTTTCGATCTTTGTGCTCTCTTCCATAAGTTGATCGTAACCCACTACACGCGAAGCCGCTGATCTCAAAAACCTTTGGATCTCGACAACGAGGACGAAGAATGCTTCTGTGGCGTACTACAAGAATGAAAGCGCTGAGTATCATTGTAACGCCCTGAAACCCGGATAAGTATTATTGATTAATTTAAATAATTAATTAATTATTGAAAAAGCCAGTTTAGGGGTATAATCGTAATTTGGGATTTTAATCGAATAAGACATACCATTTTGTAGAGATTTTTCAACCAAACGCAATGGCTCAGACGGATCCCGAATCTGAGTTACATGCAATAGATCAAGTGCTTTAGACTTGAGTAAATCATAACTGAATTAGATTTATCCTAAACCTATAAATGATGTATGGATGCTTTCATTGCTTTGACTCCTGCTCCTCTACTATTGACTGTGAATTGAGTGAGTTTTGTTTGTGAGTCTCTCAAGTAAAATTATGTGTAGCTGTGTGAAAAAGTATCAATCTTAGTTCACAAACTCAAACAAAACAATAAATCAGGCCTACTTCCTAAAATAGTAGATTAAAACACCCATTATAGAACAATATTTTTGTACAGTCCCTTCCACTTATATTTGTATTCATACTAAGCCTCTAAATACAGGCCTAATCCTTGTATCGTAACCACCATTAAGAACAAGAAAAAGAATAAAGAATTAATAGAGAGAAGAAATCAGAAATATATTATATATATTCTTATAATCTCTAAGTAGGTTTTTCTATCCTTTTATAACACGTTATCAGCACGAATTTACTCAAAATCTTGTTCTTCCCAGAGGTATATATTTTTTAGATCTTCTTATATACAAATAAACTATTTTTTTAAAAAACAGTGAGAAGTATTCTTTGTGATTGCCCAGAGTAGGGACCTTCACATCTTAAATGTATAGTTATAAAAATAAAATTAGATAAATTAAAAAGAATAAGTTTCCTCATAATGTAAAAAATCATATTTTTAATAAACTAAAACTAATAGGTAGAATTTTATAACTAAGATTATAACAAAAGTGCAGTTCTCTTTATTTATCTATGAGTAAATTCCATAATTGGTTCTTTATAATAGGGGGTTTCCCTATTTAGTCCTCTATTATCAAATATTACCCCAGTGGTCCTTCTTTTATGGGTATCTTTCCATAAATAGTCCTTTTTTTGATCTTCTATCATGTTGGTGTTAATTTGAGGGCTAAAAGTGTAATTTCACAATGATAATATATTTTTTTTTGTCATACACAATTCCAAAGGTTGTTCCGTTTGCGTCGTTTGTGAATTACAGTCGCTTTCTACTACAACCATAGTCTACAAATGTGGTATTTCATCGTAATCCTAGCCTACAATCATAGTCATTATTTTTGTGTTATCCACTTAACTAATATCAGAACACGTCACTAGACATAATGTTGATGTCAAATTATACTTTTAGCCTTTAAATTAACACTAACATGGCAGAAGATCAAAAAAGGATCATTTGTGGAAAAGCACCCTTTAAAAAAAGACTACAGGGGTAATATTTGATAATAGAGTACTAAATATGGAAAGTCCTCTGTTATATAAGACCAATTAAGGAATCTACTCTTTATGTATCTACCTTATTACGAAGTACTCCCTCCGTCCCAGAGTATTTGTCCACTTTCATTTTTACACACCATCCAATGCACTTCTTTAATCCATTTTATCTTGTAATTTGTATATTAAAAAATTATAGAAATTATATATTAATAATCTATATGTTAAGACAAATCAAATAAGATCACACATGACTATATTTAGGCTTACACATTGAGAGAATTTGATGAGTCAAAGTATTTAGATGAACAGTTCCGTAAATCAAAAGTGGACAAACAAAGCGGGACGAATAAGAAGGGACTATAATGTTAAGGCCGTCCTATTTCCGTCTACTTTTCCGTTTGGATTAACGAGTTTCTTTCTAAGGGGATGCGATAGGGATACACATGTGGAGTTCTTTTGTCCACAAAAAATTATCACAACTCTCCCCCAATATCACCACCACTCGGCGGTTTTGAAAATTGACGACTCCAATTTTCATCTATCTGCAAGTTTTTATTTATAAAAGTAATTTTCATAGCTGCTCCTATAATCGTTGCTTTGTTGCTCTTATCATTGCTGCTCGCTGCTTCTATTTATTGGTTCCCAGCACGGTTAGTCATGAATTTGTCTTCCTGTTTTTTATGCCATCTTCGATTATTTATTTCTCAAATTTTAGAGAATTTTCATTATTGGTGTTTTGAAATTGTTTTTTTTATAGATTTAGGAGTTTCAAATTGAGATAGATTCAAGCTTCAATTTTATTTTCAATTAAAGTTATAGTTAAGCTTCAATTCATATTTGCATGTGATTTTCTTTTACTCTGTGGTTGTTTTTGGAGATATCATTCTCTCGATCTAACTTAAGTTCACTTAGTTTCATGTCTTGGTATAATAGGTCTGCAATTTTTAGTTTTAAAATATTTTTTTAGTTGAAAAATTGTAACTTTGGTAAAATTCATGTAGCGATGGTACCGAGGTTACTGTTTAGAATTCATTTTAGAAATCTACTGAACATGTACTATATTCTAGGGCTCTCTGTAGAATTCAATTACTGTATTCACATTTTTTACTGATTCTTGGTTAAGCTCCTGATTATTTTTGTTTGGTATGATTTTTTAGCATTCATATGCTTTCCTTGTTATTATATTGGGGATCTTCTTTGGATTCAATTGTTATTAAAACATCAATTTCTGCCTTTTTCGGTAATAAGCAAATTATGGTTTTGATCTTTCTTCAATTTGTATTACACTCTGGATTTCACATATGTATTTAAACTATTTATTACCCCCTCTGTCCATAAATAAACTTCTCGTTCACTATTCACAGGATCAAACTTTATTCACTTTGTTGGCATATTTTTGTGTCCTATTTGATAAAACAATATAGTCATGTCACCTCTAGTTTTGTAGATATTTTATGTAGTTTTTTAATATGTAATTTTTATTTTTTAATTCTTTACTATTTTTCATACAAAATGATTTAAAAATAACTTCAGCCAAACATCATAACGCGCAACGAGAAGTTTATTTTTGGACGGATGGAGTATTTGTTTACCTATCTTTATTCAGTTTAATATCTACCTAAATGCGTCTTGTGTTTATTATTTAAGCTAATTGAGCTGAGAGTGTTAAATTCTACTTAGAGTGATATTAACGCCGATTGATTTTTGTCTATCGGGTGGTGTTGGTTTTTACTTCTTAATGATAAACTTACACTCCATATATGTTTTTTTATTCGTAGTTAATAGAAATGATCATTAACTTAACAAGTCTTATCCCTTATATTATAAGTGCCTATAGCGTTTTTGCTCTATTAGTGTAGTCCTTTTTCCCTACCGCACTTTGGAGGTGGCCTACCTGGATATGATCGCCCTTCCGATCTTGAAATGAAATCGTCATTTGCTTTCTTACCAGGTACGGTTCTTATGACCTCCTTCTTCGTTTCTTTTGTCGCCCTATCTACCAACTGGAGTTTCTGTTGTGTTTTTATAAATTTCATAATTTGAATTTTCTAAATAAATTAAAAAAACAACTAGGATTTGTATTTGGCTTGCAGTGGTTTGATTTTCTTTTTGGTGTATGCTATTTTTTTAAAGTTTTTAGCCTCATACCTTCAATTTTCCCCTCTTTGCCCAGGTATCCAATCTTCTTGCTTCTTCTTGTTCAGATGATATATAATTTGAATTAGTTTCCAATGTAAACTTGTTCCGAAAAAATAATACTATAAATTAGGATTCCAAATCGTGCCCTTTTTTCATGTTTGCAAATAGAATAACTAACAAATGGTTAAAGCCCTTTCATCTTTCTTGAGTATGTTCGTTTATTCAATGTTAAAAAGGGTAGCAACAGAATCTGGAGGCACAAGTGAACAAGCTCCAACAACCAATAACTGTATCGACAGGTTGTGCTAACAAGTGAGCAAGATAGAAGAATGACACACAAAACGAAAAGAAATACTCCCTCCGTCCCTAAATATTTGCCACATTTGTATTCCCAAGGCAAAATATTAAGCTTTTTCAATTCATTTTATTTACATATTGGTATAGAAATAAAAAATAAAATTTACATATCAAAAAACTATATGAAAAGTTCTTCGAAATGAGAGGCGTGAAGAATATTTTATTTTATCAAATAAACAATGAAAACGTAGAAATAAACAAAAGTTCCTGCGACTGCTGAAAAAGCAAATGTTGCAAATAATTTGGGACGGAGGAAGTAGAACCAAGCAGAGACACAAAGAGCCGCACCCGTCAATGATCGAACCAAAAAAAGAAGTCAACTCCACCTGAAGGGCTTGCACAACACCCAAGCAATAAGAACTCACCTCAGCATTGTGAATGCCCTTCTCCTTAAGCGCCTCCCGACACACCATAGCTTTCGCTAAGAAAGGATCATTGGGACAACTTAAGCACCCAATGATGCTTTGTTTTACTACTTTTGTCATTTTGAATAGGCACAGAACTACACCATATGTAAGGGAGATTAGTATAAGAAATCCTAACCATTAGTGTAAATATTAGAGAAAAGAAATTGTTATGTAACTCTTTTGTAACAATAGCTTGGGCACCACACGCACAACGTGCGTTTCAAGGTAGTCTTATACTATAAGGCCGTATACCATTTCCCTCCGTCAAATAGGCCCTTTTTCCGTCACCCTTTTTCCGTCACTTTACAGGTCTTTGGAAGTTGGGCTATTTTTTCTTCCCTGTTCGGCAATCCCACTATCCGTCTTTGAAATATACAGCCACCGCCCCACGACCTCTACCATTTCTCCTTTGCTTCTTGCACTTTCTACACCGCCACCGCCCCACCTCTGCCACCGCCCCAATTTAGAATTTGATTAAGTTATTGCTTTGTTTCAATTTCTTTTGACTCAATAGGTAAACAGATATGAAGCTTAGATTTCAGCTATCAGTTTTTTCTTTGTGGGAACATAACTTTTACTTTCAGTTTTTAAAGCCTCAATCCTTCTATGTTTTATTTAATTTCTATTTCAGTTCCCCTTATTTAATTTAGATTTTGAAATATCTAAGATTTAGGTTTACATCTGATTGATAATGCTAAATGGAAATTGAATTGGCAAGTTTTAAGAATTTAGGGTTTGCCTCGACCTGTATATTTATTTACTTCTATTTTATTTTTGATTAATTGAGCTGACTTTTCTGGTTTGATTAAGCAAAATTGATGTTGAATTTTGTGGCTTGCTTCTGCTTGATAACCAGAAAAATTTCAAAAACTTAGGGTCTTTAAATTTTTATACCTTTACTATGGAAAATTTATAATTCTGGTCACTACACTGTTTTAAAATCCCAACCAAAACATATTGACATTCTTTATTTATCTCTCGTTCTTTGCTCTGTTTTTTTGGAGTAATGATAGTTTAATTTAATTGTAAAAGGAATAGAGGGAGTTGTTTGCTACTTTGCTCTTTTCTAAGCTATTTGATTTGGATCCAAATTATTTGTCAAACTACTTTCCGAAAGAATATATGCATTGCTATGCTCCTATTACACTTCTATGCCTCTGCTAGCTTTGGATATTTAAAATAAATTAAATGGATCTATGCTTTTTCTCTTATTAAATGCAAACCATTTTTAAACATGCTTGGCAAACACACACGTAGTGTGTCTCCTGCTAGTGTGTGTCTGTGTGTGTGTATATATATATATATGCATATATACACACACACACACACAAAAGAAATGTATATAGGGTAATAATACAAAACACTGGAAAATAAAATTTTTGGTTAGGTGTGAGAATTGAACTCTGGTCATGCATCTACCACTGCACCTCTCTTACCACCCATCCTACGGAATCTATGTGTTTTATTACTACATATGCACTTATGTACTTAATTTTGTTCTAGTCTAAAATGGAACATATACATGTATAGTCGGTTGGTAACGTAGGTACGTACGTATTGGCTTCGGTCTTTGGTCCAATCTGGTTTGAATTTCAACCATGACAAATGGCTACTAACATGTATCGACATCATTTTCTGATTTTTCTAGGAAGCAACAGAAAATCTTCCTTGAGGGTGGCTATTGTTTCAACTTCAGTTACATTTGGTGGGATTATACTTGCAATTGCAATCTTATGTCTTTTGAGATTGAAACTACTCGCCAAAAGGGAATATGAGATGCAGCCTTTAAGTGCAGCAGGTTAATTATTAGAAAATATGTATTATTGATCGCATTGCATTTTCTTTTATTCCTTATAATAATCTTATCATCTTTGCATGTTATGTCCTGTTTGTAGACTCGATTGGCATTTCCAGCATGTCCTCCCGGTATGATTTTGATACAATTAAAGTCATAACCAATGATTTTGCTTGTGAAATTGGGAGCGGTGAATTTGGTTGTGTATATAAGGTATATATGATGATGAAGCCCATTTTGAATTTAGTTGCCAATCTTTACAAAATTTATCCTATTATTTTACAATTATTATGTTACTTTTATAAATTAGACCCTAAAGTTTCTTTCTTTCATTAGGGCAAGCTTCCTACGGGGAAGGAAGTGGCCGTGAAAAGGCTCTCAGAAACCTCCCAACAAGGGGTTGAACAGTTCATAAATGAAGTTGAAATCCTCCTGAAGCTTCAACACCAAAATCTGGTTCGGTTGCTGGGATACTGTTGTGAGGCTACAAAAAAATTACTTGTTCATGAGTTTGTCCCCAACAAAAGCCTTAACCTCTTCATATTTGGTTAGTTTCATAAATATATCTCCTTATAAGTTTCATTTTCTTTTCTACGTGAAACAAGTTGGTATTGACGACACATGGCCTAACACATCATAATATGTGTTTGTGTGACTTTTGAAATATATCTTTAGGTCGAGACCACCCTAATTTGGATTGGCCAACCCGATTCAAGATCTTGAAAGGAATCGCACGAGGGATGCAGCTATACCTTCATGAAGATTCTTGTGTGAAAATTATAAACAAAGATCTAAAGGCGTCCAACATACTACTGGATTCAGATATGAATCCAAAAATATCAGACTTTGGGTTGGCCAGAATCTTTCCATGTGATCAATCGGTACGACGTACGGATGGAAAGGCTGGAACCTGGTAAGTTATGCCCATAAAATCTATGATGATTTTAATTTGGATGCTCTATTATTCCATGTTCTTCTAGCTAGAACTATCTCCAAAATAATAACTCAAAACTAGCTATCTTATAAATTTTTGTTTTCTGTGGCCGTGAAAAGCTCTCTGAAACCTCCCAACAAGGGGTTGAACAGTTCATAAATGAAGTTGAAATCCTCCTCAAGCTTCAACACCGAAATCTGGTTCGGTTGCTGGGATACTGTTGTGAGGCCACAGAAAAAATACTTGTTTATGAGTTTGTCCCTAACAAAAGCGTTAACCTCTTCATATTTGGTTAGTTTCATAAATGTATCTCCTTATAAGTTTCATTTTCTTTTCTACTTGAAACAAGTTGGTATTGACGACACATGGCCTAACACATCATAATATGTGTTTGTGTGACTTTTGAAATATATCTTTAGGTCGAGACCACCCTAATTTGGATTGGCCAACCCGATTCAAGATCTTGAAAGGAGTCGCACGAGGGCTGCAACTATACCTTCATGAAGATTCTTGTGTGAAAATTATACACAAAGATCTAAAGGTGTCCAACATACTACTGGATTCAGATATGAATCCAAAAATATCAGACTTTGGGTTGGCTAGAATTTTTCCATGTGATCAATCGGTACGACGTACGGATGGAAGAGCTGGAACCTGGTAAGTTATGCCCATAAAAACTATGATGATTTTAATTTGGATGCTCTATTATTCCATGTTCTTCTAGCTAGAACTATCTCCAAAATAATAACTCAAAACTAGCTATCTTATAAATTTGTGTTTTCATTGCCTTTTAGGGGGTATATGCCCCCTGAATATTGCATGTCCGAAAGACTCTCTGTGAAGTTTGACGTTTACAGCTTTAGGGTTCTTATCCTAGAGATTATTTCTGGTAAGAAAATTTAAAGCACCCGCGCAGCAGGAGAAGGCCTTCTTAGCAATGTGAGTAGATGTACATTTTAATAATAAACGAACACATCTCACTTTCTCCCCTAGCTAATTAATCCCATTTGTGATTCTATCTTTTCTTAAACAATATTATTTGCACTATAAATAACGTGTTTTCTGTTCTAATTCACACACACACACACACACACAAAGAAATTAAAGGTCCTTAATTAATTCAAAGTTATGGATGCTCTTATTATATGACAATTGACCTATAAATGTATATTGAAATATCATCATCATATAAATTATTTGAGGCATGGGATAGTTGGATGGATGGAGAGCCCTTAGAGATTGTAGATCAAGCTCTAGGCCAATCTTATAAAGCTGAAGAAGTCATCCCATGGATACACGTTGGGTTACTGAGTGCGCAAGACGATGTAGACAAAAGACCAACAATGCAAGAAATTTTGTTTATGGTCACCAACTATTCAAGTCGTACTTGGGCAGTACCGTGTCAACCACCATTATATCATGGTCAACGCCCCAATGAGAGAGATTATTATTCATGAGCTTCCATCGACGACGATTGAGCTTACGTCCTTGGCATTTTTAACACCACGCGAAAGCTTTACCACATAACATTTTCGTTCTATATTTTGTACGTGTGTGTTCTGATATGATATGTATCCAAACATACATTGAATTTAATTTGGTATATGTGGAATTCTTTTTGCACGTATGTTATGTGGTAAAGCTTTCGCGTGGTGTTAAAAATGCCAAGGACGTAAGCTCATGAATAATAATCTCTATCTCATTGGGGCGTTGACCATGATATAATGGTGGTTGACACGGTACTGCCCAAGTACGACTTGAAGCTAGAGGTATTTATCGGTGAAAAAGTATTTTTGTGTGACGTTACTAGTACTCCATAAAAGTTGCAAAGTTTTGTGATTTCATATATTGAGTTCTTGAGAAAACAGTGAATAGTATTTTTATATGGATCTTTTGAAATGAAAGTAGAAAAGTCTGAAAGTTTTTTCATTAAAATAATAATTACTCCGTATAATTTACCTTTCATATCCAGTCTCTTAGCTTCTTACTTCTGATGAGTTATGCTCCACTTTGGCTTCTCCATAGTAAATAGGAATTCTTCTCTCTCATAAAAAATAGGAATGTTTTCTTCAATAACATACTACGGAGTATTAATAATGGCATAAAAGAATATTTTTTTCCGTGTACTTTGATGTGCATGCTAGTACATTATTAATTTATATTTTTTGCTATCATCATACAAAGAAATTATTATTTCACTTCTAACATGTACATGTGAATATATTTTGTCATTTTGTCCTTTTGGAATATATATACTCCCTATAAGCGTTACTTTTTAGATGGATATTTGCATTTGAACATATGATTTTTTTTCCTTCTTTATCATTTTAAAAAAAGGTTTATGACCTTTTCTTTCATTTTTTTTAAACGTACCACCTACTTAATAATAAAAAAAATCTAATGAATTTTACGGAGTAGTTATTATGTTGTAGTTTCAAATGGCCAACATCACCAAAAAAGAATTCGACATTCTTGATTTATTTGATCAAAGATACCTAGAATGGAGGGTTAATGTCATTGCTCACCTCAAGGCAAATTGCCTAGAAAATACTTGTTGAAAATAATACAGCAACATCTCAGGCAAAAGTCATAATTTTCCTTCGCCACCATCTTCATGAAAGATTAAAATCTGAATATTCATTGGTGGAAGATATGAAGGAATTATGAGATAATCTCCAAGAGAGATATGGACATCAACAAAAAGTCTTATTGCCAAGAGCTCAATAAGAATGGATCAATTTAAGATTCTAAGATTTTAAATTTGTTTGTGACTATAATTCTTCTATTTTCAAAGTCACATCGACATTAAAATTATGTGGACATAATATAACTCATCATGACATGTTGGAAAAAACTTTTTCCACCATGCATATGTCAAATGTGATATTATAACAACAATACAGAGAAAGAGGTTTTTAAAAGTATTCTGAGTTAATCTCAATATTACTTATTACTGAGAAGAACAATGAACTATTAATGAAAAATCATAACATGAGGGCTACTGGTTGTAGCCCTACAAATTTTGGCCATCCTAATTGTGATTCAACACCAGAATGAAATATTATCCAAGGTGGTGTACGTGGATACTTTAAACGTGGCGTGGAAATAACCAAAACAAAGGGCCAAATAAGGGGTATAAATATCCAAATGGGTCATCCTCCAAGGAAAAGAGAAAATTCAAACCACCACAGACTAAAACTAATGAAACGCCAAAACCAAGTGGTGAATGCTATAAACGTGGCATGAAAAGACATTGTGTCAATGAATGTCGAACGGTAAAACACTTGGTGAAATTATACCAAGTTTCCACAAAATAAAAATGGAAAAATGTGGAGGCTTATTATGCTGGTGATATCAATCGAATTTTGCCTAAATTTGATGTGCCTGATTTCTACATGGATGATGCTGAAATTAGTAGTGAAGTGGCCTTTGGTGGAACAACCGCTGTTTAAATATTTTTAATTGCCCTATTTTGGTGTGTTTACTTTTAAAATAAATGTTTAAAAGTTGTACTTTATTTTCATGTGCACTTGTATTATTATGTATATTTTAAAGATTATAATAAAATGTATGATATTTGTGTTAATTATCTTGAACTTATATTTATTTATATATTTATTGGTATTCAAGATATGAAGATAATTGTTTATGGCTTCCATGGCAAAGAACAATGTCTAATTGGGCCACAAGACACATCATTTTGAGAAACAAAAAATATTTTTCTCTAATGACACTGATGGAAATTAATGTCTATACAATCTCTGGTGTTGCAAAGCTCATTAAAGAGTCTGGAATGACTTGTTTAATCCTTCCCCAAGGGATAAAATTAATTATCAAAGATGCATTATATTCCAGCAAACCCCGAAGAAATTTATTGAGTTTTAAATATATGCGTCAAAATGGTTATCACATTGAAACTATGACATAAAATCAAAAGGAATACTTGTGTCTAACGACAACCAAATTTGGTAATAAAATTCTTGGTGAAAAGATGCCAGCGTATTCCTCGGGGCTATATTATATTTACATTAGTCCCGTTAAAGTGAATGTTGTCTCTAAAAAATAGATGATTAGAAAACATTTACTTTTTGGCATGATCGTTTGGGTCATCATGTGAGTGTAACGATGCACAAAATAATTCAAAATTTATTTGGACATCCATTGAAAAATATACGGATTGCAAGATCATTTGATTTTTCATGTGTTGTCTGCTCTCTAGGAAAATTGATTGTCAGGTCTTCTCTAAATAAAATTTGAGTTGAATCTCTTGCATTTTTAGAAAGAATTTAAGGAGATATTTGTGGGCCAATTGCCCCACCATGTGAACCATTTCGTTATTTTATAGTGTTGATCGACGCATCAACATGTTGGTTACATGTTAGTCTTTTATCCACATGAAAGTTTTCATTTGCAAAACTCATTGCTCTAATCATACGTTTGAGTGCTCAATTTCTGAATTATTCAATAAAGAAAATCTCACTTGATAATGCAGAAGAATTTACATCCCAATCATTTAATGACTATTGTATATCTATTGGGATTGATGTGGAGAATCTAGTTACTCATGTGCACACTCAAAATGGTCTTGCTGAGTCTTTAATAAAGAGATTACAATTAATTGCTAGACCATTATTGATGAAATCCAATTTACCTGCATCTGTTTGGGGACATGCTGTATTGCGTGTTGCAAATTCAACTCGGCTAAGGCCTACGGCAAATCATATTTTTCCCCATTACACTTGGTAGCTGGAAAAGAACCAAATATTGCTCACTTAAAAATATTTGGATGTTGTACCAATCGCTCCACCACATCGTACAAAATGGGTCCTCAAAGAAGGTTGGGAATTTAGGTTGGCTTTGATTCTCCGTCAATTATAAAATATCTTGAATCCATGACTGTCATTTTGATGAGATAGTATTCCCAGCCTTAGAGGGAGAAAATGAGAAAAAGGATCTAGGTACGAAAGAGATTACATGAAATGCAACAAGAGTATCTTTTCTTGATTGAAGAAAAATTGCATGTGAACAAGAAATGCAAAAGATAATTCATTTACAAAATGTTGCAAATCAATTATCTGATCCATTCACGAATTCAAATAAAGTGACATAGTCACATATTTTTGTTATGAATGTTCTTACCAAAATTGAAATTCCTTCAGAGAAAAATGAAACAACTCTTGCAAATGAGTCTTCAATACGCAAAAAGTGTGGCAGGCCACTTCTTTCAAGAGTTGTAAAACCAAAAAAACTTGAAAGGCAAGAGACAATGTTTGAAACAAAAGATGTTCATTCTTCAAGAAAAGAAAATGAACAAAGCGAGCATGTTGATATAAAAAATAATATCAATGAACAATTTGTTTCTAATGAGGATTTAACCATCTTTAAAGATGTGAATAATTCAGATGAAGATAGAAATGTTGATAATTATGATATCTCAATAAATTACGTTTCTACGGGATTGCAATAGAATAGAAAAGATATTCATGTAGATGATATAGATGAAAATGATGACATTGAGCCAACTTCAATTGATGAATGTCGACGTAGACATGACTGGCCAAAATGGAACTAAGCAATTCAGGCAGAATTTAAATCACTTAAAAAGCGAAGTATTTTTGGGCCTATAGTTCCTACGCTAAAAGGGGTGAAACCAGTTGGTTTCAAATGGGTTTTTGGGCGCAAGCGCAATGAGAAAAATGAAATTGTGAGATATAAAGCCCGACTCGTTGCCCAAGGTTTTTCTCAAATCTCGGGGATAGATTATGAAGAAACTTATTCCCTAATAGTTGATGCAACTACGTTGAGATTTTTGATAGACATGCCTGTTTTTGAAAAACTTCAAATGCGTTTAATGGATGTAGTGACATCATATTTATACGGATCTCTCGATACTGACATATATATGAAAGTTCCTGGAGGCCTAAAATTGCCTGAGGTTTATAGTTAAAAACCTCGAAAGATGTTTTCCATAAAATTAGGAAAGTCCACTATATGGACTAAAACAATCTGGTAGAATGTTCAGTGAATATCTGCTCAGAAAAGGATACAAAAATGATCCAATTAGTCCATGTGTTTTCATCCGTAGATCTAAATCAGGCTTTGCCATAATTGCAATATATATTGATGATTTAAACATCATTGGAACTTCTGATGAAATAGAAAACACTGCAAAATATCTCATTAAAGAATTTGAGATGAAAGATTTTGGGAGAACAAAATCTTGTCTTGGTCTTCAGATTGACCATTTGAAAGATGGAATATTCAGTCAAATTACACGAAGAAGCATCTGAAGCGATTTTATATGGATAAAGCACATCCTCTCACATCCTCGATGGTTGTCTTCTCTCTCAATGTACATGCTGATCTGTTCCGAACTCATGAAGATGATGAAGAATTACTCGGTTTAGAAATATCATACTTGAGTGCTATTAGAGATTCGATGTATCTAGTAAATAACAATCGACCAAATATTTCATTCTCACTGAACTTGTTAGCAATACATAGTTCAACCCTGACTAGGAGGCACTCAAATGACATTAAACACATTTTGCGATATCTCAATGGCACCATTGAACCTGGTCTATTCTACTGCAAAGGCCACTTTTGTTGGAAATGCGGATGCCTAGGCCACGTTTACTGGAAACGCTGATGCATGATATTTGTCTGATCCAAAAAAAGCAAAATCTCAAACAGAATATGTGTTTACTTATGAAGATACCGCAATATCATAGAGATCAATGAAGCAAACTTTGATTGCTACATAATCAAATCACGCAGAGTTGACAGCTCTCTACAAAACTAGTAGAAAATGTCTATGGTTGTGATCAATGATCGAACATATCCAGAGCGAGTGCGATATAGAAACAATCACTAGTCATCTGATTCCTATATATGAGGACAACATTGTATGCATTGCT